GAAGTGACAGGGCTCAGGAGCCGGAGGGGGTGGGGGCCCTGCGGCAGCTGGAAGGGGAATTGAGTGGGAAGAGGCCGGTGCTGGCGGCCGGGAGAGAGTTTGATGGATTACTCTGCAGGCCCAGAGGTTTCTCCCTAATCCCCCTTTGTGTCGGGGCCTGCAGCCCCCTCACTCTCTCTGACAAGCTGCTAAGCAGAAGGCTTCCAGTCCGAGTGAAGAAAAGGCAGCGCAGCAGGGCCAACTCCAAATCCCTGGCCTCTGGGCCCCGGGGGAGGCAGGAGCTAGGGAGCGAGTCTGGGGTGGGAGCGGGGGTGGGGTCCTCCTCCCCTCTGTCCAGCCCTCTTCTGACAGTTCCCTTGAGGTGGAGAGGTTGCATTCTGAGCAGAGTGTTCAGGTGTCTGGGGGAGCCCTGCAAAGCGTGGGTCTGGGGTATTTCTGCAGATCACTGCCTTTTTTATAGCGTGGCGTCGGGGGAGAGCAGACCCTCGCTTCTTTGGGAGTTTGAGCCCGAGAATCAAAGACTGAATGTGGGTAGGAAGGCACAAACCCAGCACAGTCTCCTCCTGTGCACGTCCCCCCGCCCCCCCCAGCTGCCCAGGTCCCCGACCTGGGGCTGTAATGGGAGCGACTGCCTCACAAGGATGCTCCTTCTCAGGTCTCCTGGCTGGCCAGCACTGCCTCTTTGTGGGGCGCCCCTGGGCCCCACGAGGGCAGAGCTCATTTCGGGAGTGCAGTGTGCTAGGTTTTACCGCATAAGGCCAAGGACATTGGTCCCCTAGGACTGAGGCAAGGGGTTGGGTCACAGGGATGCGGGCCTGGTGAGCCCCCAGCCCTCTTCCCTGCCCCCAACCTAGAGGGCCTGGGGAGAGCTCAACGTGGCATGAGATCCTAGGATCCAGTCCGGTGTGGAGGAATGGGGGTCCCCCGCCTTCCTGCCGTGTCGTAGCCACTCGCCCTTCCGGCAGGCAGCCTCCCGTGGGGTGTGTGTTGGGGAGATTGGCCAAGACTGACCCCACCCCCTTTCTGCAGCTGAGTCATTATTCCTGGAGGGAGCCTACCCCACCCGGTTTCCTTCTCTGCGGGAGGGGCCGCCTGGGGGCTGTGAAGGGTAGAGGAGCGTGTGAGAAAGCCGGGCCGGCTTTGTGAGTGTGGAGGGAGGACGCAGGGTCGCCGAGCTGCAGGGGTCAGGGTGGGGGCCGCGGCGTTTGATGTGCCTGGGCGGGGTGGGGGGACGCCGCCTGCATAAAGAGCCCATAGAATTGCTGCCTGACACTGGCCCGCGGCGGGGCTGCCCCCGGCCCCGGGTTCCTCCGGCCTCTGTCTGTCAGCGGAGGGAATCCGCTCCCCCCAGCTCCACCTCGGGCGTGAGGGTGGCAGGCGCCCCTTTGAAAGCCCTCAAAGGCCTCTTTATGCATCCCTCTGACCCTCCCTTCCCGTAGGGAGCTACCCGAAGTGGGCTCTCGCCTTTCCTCCCACCTCCTTCCCTCGCTCTTTTGAATTTTGGAGAAAGTTCAGGCCAAGTTTGTTCTTGCTGCTCAGTTTCATTGCCCCATGCTCGCCTGTGGCCTAACCCAGTGTGGGGCATCCCGGCCCGAGGGGCTGTGCGGTCCCCTCACCACCTTTGAAACTTTAGGAGTTGCCCCCTCTGGGGGTCTGGCCAGGGTTTCCCGAGTGGGGGTGGGGATGGGAGTCCCTTCAGTCTTTCCGGTGTCTTCCACTGCCCACCCCCACCCCCATGCTGCTTTCAGCCATGCATTCTTTGGGTAAACATTTCCCAGGCCCCTTGTGCGCGGGTGGGCGCTGGAGGGCTGGGAGGCTTGCCCACGGGGCTCCTGCTCTCTGCAGCTGGGCTAGCTGACTGGGCCCAGGGTGCTTGGGTTCTGCTCCTCAGAGGTGAGCAAAGATGGCCTGGGGCAGAGCTCCACGGAGGTTCCTGGAGGTCTTGGGTTTCTTCCAGGCTTCTTGCTGTCCCGTCATTGGAGGACAGGTACTTGGAACTTGAGAGGGACTTGTCCTCCCCAAGGCTGCTGTCCTTGCGGGAGGTCAGGCCACACTCACTGCCCTTTTGGTACTTCCACTTCCCTCCTCTTCCCGTCCCCCCCCCCCAACCCGGTGAGCCCCTGGAGGCTGGCTCGTGGGGTTGATCTTCTGTTTGCCAGACAGGCCCAGTGCTCTGGGAGCAGCGGGACGGGAAGATTTGAGTCAGAAGCACCTCTGACAGCGGAGGGTACTGGGGAGACTTGAGCTCGGTTGGCTGCATCCCTGAGGAAGACAAGGGAGTGCCCCCAAATGGGTGCCGGCAGTCATCCGTCACTTACCGTCACTTAGAAGCTTTGGTGGGCAGCGTGCCCCCAAGCTGCAGGCGGGAGTGGTGGCCACGAAGGGGTGTGGAATCACTTGCTCCCCCACCCCTCCGGGCCTGGGCACCGGGCAGGGCGTGGGCTTCTGTGATCGCGCCCCAGAGGGATGGCGGGTGGCCGGTTAGCACTGTGGACGTCCTTTGTGGTGCCTTCCCCCTTGAGGACCCCAGAGTGGGGATGTCGTGGGTGAGACTGGGGCTCTGGGGAAGGTCCGGGAGCGGGGGACTTCCTTAGGCAGTTCTGGGCTGGGAAGAATCCACTCTAGGGGTGGCAGGAGGGCCCTGGACCTGGTGGCACAGAAGTCAAAAGAGGGAAGACGGGCTTAGCAACCTGAGAAGAGAGGGGTGCCGAGCTGGCCTTGGAGCCTGCCCACCTCCTTCCCAACTCCTTTCTGTGAATTCTTCACCTGGCCCAGCCCCCAGTTACCTGGTGCAGCAGCGGGGGAGGAGGGGGAGGAGACCGGGGAGGAGGCCGGGGGACGGCGGGGGAGAGAGAGGCAGCTAATGGGCTATCTGGACTGAAGGAGGATGAAGGGAAATTCCTCTCTTCACCCCCTTTCGTCTTCTTGTCTTTCTCTCATGGGCTAAGGAGCGTGTCCTGCCTCTTCCTGGGAGCAAGGGGCTGGGCTAGGGAAGGGAAGGAGGCCGGGGGGTGGGGGTGATTACTGTTTTGCTGCAGAGCTGCAATTCACTTGAAACCACAGGGAGCAACAAGAGCTTGGGAATGTGGGCAGGTTGTGGGTGAGTCTGGGGCTGACAGTCTGTTTGCTCAGGGAGGACCTGGTCGCTTTAGCCACAGCAGGTGAGTGTCTAGGGCCTTCCCACACTGAGGGTGGGGAGTAGAATGGGCTGGAAGCCTTTTGACCCAGAACACCTCCCTCCAGGCTGGAGAGTACCCCCATCTTGGTCTGTGTGCAGGCTCCTGCCTTCCTTGTGGGGGATGCTGTGGCAGGGGAGGGGCTTGGCTCAGAGATTGACGTGTGGCCCCCTCCCAGCCCCTTTAGGGACCCCGTGGGTCAGTATTTTACACTCCTCCCCATGCCACCCCCATAGGTGTCCATGCACTTTCCCAAAGTGGATGGTCTGGGTCTGAGCAGAACTTTGGGGAGGAGGCTGCTGGTTGCCCAGCCTTCCTTTCTGGTCTGCCAGCTGCAAAGGCTTGGAAAGTGGTTATGGGACAAACACATCTTACCCTGGATTGGTGGCCATCTGATTTTTCTGTGGCCTGTTTCAGAGACACCTACCACATGCTTTGTAGCACACAAGGCCCTGGGAGGCTGAGGGTTATTTGAAAAGAAGTTGAAGTGGCCCATGATGAGATGCTGAGATTGGAGGGGAGTGAAGGAGGGCTGAGGGGTGCCCCAGGTGCCGGGTGGGGGAGGGGCCAGGGGCGGGGGCCCTCTGGGTCGTGGACCATGCCCTTGAGCAGTGCCCTTCCACGCATTTATGGGCATGAATGGGTGAGGCCAGGGAAGGCAGTCTAGACTCCGGCCAGGAGTGGCATGAAGCTCTGTCCTCACGTCTTTGGGATGAATGACAAGTTAGGGGGCTCTTGCTTTTTCTCACGAAGGCCCACCTTCTGTACTCCTCGTGGCTGACGTGATTTTCCCTCTTTTGTGGTCAATCCGAAACAGCAAACTGCGTTGGGTCCTGTGGTCAGGAAGCAAGACCTGGATGCCGATTGCCTGGGAGTGGGGGGCACAGGGTGGGGGCTCCCCCAGTGGGATCTCTCTGCACAGGAGGCAGGCCTAGCAGGGAGGGCCGTGGGGACTTCTCTGCTGAGAATGGAGCCGTTTGGGGAGCAGAGAAAGGCGGCCGGGAAAGTGGTGGGGCCTCCTGCCGGCCCTGGGTCACCGGGGTCATTACGGTTGCCACCAGCTGGTGCCGTTTTGTGCCCCTGTGAGGCGGGCACCTGGGAACAGGCCCCACTGTGCCATGACAGTTGGGCAGTACACGTGGGAATGTTTCTTCCCCACGAACGTTGAGCGCGGAGAGAAACTCCAGGGAGAGGTTTGCAGGCCGAGGTTCCTCCAGGCGAGCCCTCTTTAAGTGGTTTCAGTGACAGGTTAAAACCCAACCCAACAAACCACAGCCTCCCCGCCCTACCCCCCTTGTTCCCATCCTTGGGGGCTCGGGTTATGGTGGCTGGGGTTACGGTGCAACGCCGCTTGTGGCCAGGCAGCGCTGCATAGGAAGTGCTACTCATAACAAAGGGGAATTGAACAGCCCAGCTTTGGGATGTGGAGAGAGAAAGCAAACACACCAGGCCTGGCAGGGGGTCTCCAGGGGCACCTTGATAACAGGGCCTGGGGAACTGGGAATTCAGTTGGTTTGATTTTTTTTTTTTTTTCTTTTTTCCCTACCAGCAGGCAAGGGCAATGGCAAAGATATTCCAAAACAGAGAAAAACGGACATCTGTTTGGCCCTGGAGTGTGCTGAGGTTTAGAAATCATATTTACCTTATTAGTTATGTCAGCCTTAGGCTAATATTAACATGCATTTCCTGATTGGCAGTAGGAGGTGGCACGGCCACACCGTCGTCAGCCTGGGAGTGAACAGCGTTCAGAGAACTCAGAGCAAATCCTGGAGGCCTGGTTGCCAGGATTTCACAGGCTGGGTTTGATTGTCCCTGTCCTTCCAGGATCCGAGTGATGAGCTATGTCCCCACCGAGGCACCCGGCGGCCACCGGCGTTTAGCACGGGCTGAGGAGCCCGACCTGCACGGAAGGCTGGCAGACATGGGCTCCTGGCCGAGGCCGGGGCAGTTGGTGGCAGCAAGGAGGAGAGGCCTGGGCGTCTGGAGCAGGGCTGAGCCTCGGCAGCTGTGGAGCGTGTGAAGCCCACCATGGCCCAGAGGCTGTGGGCCGGCCGCCTGCTGCGGCATCGGAAAGCCCAGCTCCTGCTGGTCAACCTGCTGACCTTCGGCCTAGAGGTGTGCCTGGCCGCCGGCATCACCTACGTGCCGCCTTTGCTGCTGGAAGTGGGGGTCGAGGAGAAGTTCATGACCATGGTGCTAGGTGAGTCACCACATCCTCCTTCCCTCCTGCTCCAGAGCCATGACACCCAGGAGGTAGGAAGACAGTGCCTCTGCCCAAAGCGGGAGAGGTGGCTGCCTGCTCTTCCTGAGCCCGTGGAGCTGGCGGGTGGGCACTGCTGGGCGGAGGGGGTGCGGTGGGCTGGGGCGGGGCGGGGGGGGGGGGCCCAACCGGAAAAGAACACAGGGACAGTCCGTGGTCACCTCCATACCCCAGACCCCTACACAATGCCGGGCGCATGGGAGACACTGCTCTTCACCTTTGTCCGGCCCATTCTAATTTCTGTCTGTTACTCGTTTAATCCTTGCAACAGCCTTTGGGGTCCCCCGTTTCACAGAAGAGGTCATGGAGGCCGATAAGCGGTTGGGTGACTTAGCCAGGCTGGAGGGCTAGCTACTGATTACTAGGATCGGGGTCTCCCAGCCAGGGCTCTTTCTTACCCCTAGGGCCTGGGGTGGGCCCCTGACTGCAGGTGTGTTCTACAAAAGCCACAGAAGGCAAGTGGTCACCCTGGGGTGGCTCCCAGGATCACAGGTTCTGGGGTCGGACTGCCTGTTAAAACTCCGCCTCTTGCCCCCCACCCCCACCTGGGTGCCTGTGCTCAAGGCTCACTTACCAGTTGTTCAGTGCATCAGTTTGCCCATCTTAAGATGGGGCGTTAGTGATCCTAGCTGCGAGGACTAAACTAGAGTCTGTGACATACCCTTCGCTGTTTCCAGCATGGAGGGGGGTCCTGCATGTGATTAGGATCTTGGTCATTTCCGTCCTTGTCCAGGAGCTTGGTCCCCCTTCCCCACGGCCCCTCTGGCTCATACGACATGTCCTTCCTGCAGGCATCGGTCCAGTGCTGGGCCTCGTCTCGGTCCCACTCCTAGGCTCGGCCAGTGACCACTGGCGTGGGCGCTATGGTCGCCGGAGGCCCTTCATCTGGGCCCTGTCCCTGGGCGTCCTGCTGAGCCTCTTCCTCATCCCAAGGGCCGGCTGGCTGGCGGGGCTGCTGTGCCCGGACACCAGGCCCCTGGAGCTGGCCTTGCTGATCCTGGGGGTGGGGCTGCTGGACTTCTGCGGCCAGGTTTGCTTCACCCCGCTGGAGGCCCTGCTCTCTGACCTCTTCCGGGACCCAGACCACTGTCGCCAGGCCTTCTCTGTCTATGCCTTCATGATCAGCCTCGGGGGCTGCCTGGGCTACCTCCTGCCTGCCATCGACTGGGACGCCAGTGCCCTGGCCCCCTACCTGGGCACCCAGGAGGAGTGCCTCTTTGGCCTGCTCACCCTCATCTTCCTCACCTGTGTGGCGGCCACACTGTTTGTGGCCGAGGAGGCAGCGCTGGGTCCGGCCGAGGTGGCGGAAGGGCTGGCGGTCCCCTCGGGGCCACACTGCTGGCCGTGCCACACCCGCCTGGCTTTCCGGAACCTGGGCGCCCTGTTTCCCCGGCTGCACCAGCTCTGTTGCCGTGTGCCTCGCACCCTGCGCAGACTCTTCATGGCCGAGCTGTGCAGCTGGATGGCATTCATGACCTTCACGCTGTTCTACACGGACTTTGTAGGCGAGGGGCTGTACCAGGGTGTGCCCCGGGCTGAGCCGGGCACCGAGGCCCGGAGACACTATGATGAAGGTAAGGCCTCAGCAGCCTGGGAGGGGGGGCAGGGGGGGCCCCCGCTGTGAGAGATTCCCCTCCCCACCGCCCCGCAGGGAACGGCCCGCCGTCTGTGCAGTCTGTGCAGTCTGTGCCGGCCCGTAGCTGTGCGTCTGGGTTCCCGATTTCCCTGTCAGGACAGTGGGCCCCATCTGTGCACGCGGCCCCCACGGTGCAGGGCAGCGCGGCTTGCGGTCTCCACAGCACCTCGGGCCGCAGAGAGGTTTGCTCAGAGTCATTGCCCCCATTTGCCAGAAGAAAAGGCTAAGCTTAGTTAAGGAACAGAGGCAGTAGGGCAGTCAAGGCCGGGTCTCCGGTCCGCCTGGCCCCAACTTCAGTGTGCCCTCTGCACGCCCTGTTGACTTGCCACATTCCCGGGCCAGACCTTCAGCTCAGGCAGTCCCGAACTCTGTCCTGGGGCCCATGGCAGAGCTGTCTCGGTGTTCCCTCGCACCCTCTTAGAGAGCCGAGCCCTAGGCCAGGCCTCCCCAAAACAACCGATAGAGGCTTTGGCCGCATCGTCTAAGGGCAGTGGAAGAACCTCGGCTCGGGCTGCCGCAGCCGGGTGGGGATGATGCGGGGGAGCAGGTCTGGTCCACACAGCGAGGCTTGGACGGCAGGTGCCCGCAGTTCTGAGCCCTCCCCGGTTGTATTGGGTTGTATTGGGCCTCTTCCTGCTCCGGGGCTGACTTCCTCCTCTACCCCACCCCGCAGGGGTCCGGATGGGCAGCCTGGGGCTGTTCCTGCAATGCGCCATCTCCCTGCTCTTCTCTCTGGTCATGGACCGGCTGGTGCAGCGATTCGGCACCCGGGCCGTCTATCTGGCCAGCGTGGTGGCCTTCCCTGTTGCTGCCGGCACCATGTGCCTGTCGCGCAGTGTGGCCGTGGTGACCGCGTCGGCCGCCCTCACCGGCTTCACCTTCTCCGCCCTGCAGATCCTGCCCTACACGCTAGCCTCCCTCTACCACCGCGAGAAGCAGGTACTCACATTGGCCACTGGGTGGAGCGGGGGTGGAGGGGAGACGGAGAAGCCCTGAATGGATCGGTGTCGGGCCAGAGACGTGCGGGAGAAGTCATTCTTTGATCCGAGAGGAAGCCCATGTAGCCCAGGGCCAGAGACGTGGGCTGCAGAAGGAAGGTGTAGATTAGATTCTGGGAATGACTTCCTGGTGTCAGGACTATAAAGCACTTGAGTGGATGATTGCAGGAAATGCTAAATCCTTCTTTGGGAATCCTGAAGAATCAGGCTAGCGGAAGCCCTCAGTCTGGGCTGGGTGGTTCTAGGCAGAGGCGTGGGGTGGGGAGGGGCTGGGGGTGGGGCTGGGCCTGATGACCTCTGGGGCACCTGGCTTCAGCAGCCGGTGAGTGGGGGTGGTCTGGTGTTGGCAAGGGCTCTCTTTATTCAGGGAGGGGCATTGTGACCGACCCCTGTGCTGCTTTGTTCTCCAAGATGGGGAAGGCTCCTCACTACCCCTTCTCTTTCTGGTTTATCTTCTTTTTCTGCCTAATTCTCTCTTTTCTTTTCCTGCCTCACACCTTTGCCTCCGTCCCCTTCCCCCGCCCCCACGGCGGATCTCTGAGCCTGACGCGCCTGACACCGCTCGCCTGGCCACTGTAAGTTGGGGGCCTCCTTCCTGCTTGGCCCCACACCAGCCAGCCCCTCTGGGGGCCCCGTTCTGTGGGCAGCCTCCTGACCAAAGCTGTGTAGTCACCTTTGTGCCCTTCACTGGCCTCAGTGAGCTACAGCCCTGGGTCCAGAGCTGTGCCCAGAGGGTAAGAGGTTGGAGTGTCCTGAGGGAGGAGACGCAGGCCTGCCTCCATAGAGCTTCCAGACCATAGGGAGGATGTGGTGGCCCCTTGCAGGGCATGAGTGAGGTAGCAGGGAAATAGCTAGCTAGGAGGGTGGGCAACTGAATAGGTAGCTGCAGGGGTGGGGGGGTGTGGAGGGAGGGGCCGGAGTTTTGGTTGGGGTAGCCTGGTCTCTGAGACCCCTGTCCGCACACTGATAACCTTCATCAGCCTCCATTCTGCTGCTGCCCGGCTGGGGGCTTGGGGGCTGGTGTCCAGAGGCCAGGCTTGGGCATACCCACTCGCTCCGGGGAACATGGCCGGGCGGGTCCTCCCCTCGGACTGCGGAGCGTGTCTAGCCCTAGGGGCCTCTTGACGGGGTGGCAGGCAGGGAGGACAGGGCCTGGGAGGCCCACTGGTGGCACGCTTGGCCCCATACACGGTCTGTACTTGCCTTGCCTACTTCTGGCCGCACCAAGAGCTGTAGGCTTCCCTTTTGAGCTCCGCCACGGGTGCCAGCTCCAGCGCAGCCAACTCGAGAGCCCTTCCACGTGGGGCACTAGCAGGCACAGGGGCAGTGGGGGATGAATTCTGGCCCTGTCCTTAAATAGGGCGTTCTGGGCAGGGGCAGGCTACCCTGATCTAAGGCACATAGTGAGTAGGAAGCAAGAAGGGCTTCAACATTAGCACAGCTAGGCTAAAGGAGTCTGGAAGATTCTTCTTGCTCCTCTCTTCCTCCAGGCTGAGTCCTCTGGGCCTTCCCTGCCCTCATTCTGGGGCCATGGACCGACCTCACAGCAGGGGCCTGGGACCTCAGTGGGAGCAGAGCCTCTCTCTGTGAGGTTGAGGCGGCTATCCCAGGGCGAAGTGGTGGTGGTGCGGGGTGGGGGCAGGGAGTACGAGGGTTAAGAGAGCCTGTGTGGGCGTTTGGGCCATCAGGGGCCCCACCTTTGGATTTTGTTCCTCTGTTCTTACACATCTCTCTTCTCAGCTGTCTTCATTCTGTCTTTTTCCTTTACCTTGGGGTTCTGTTCTCTTCCTGACCTGCAGTCCGAGTTTGTCTGCCACTTACTGGTTCCAGGAAAGGCTAGAGGAGACCTAGACTTCTGAATTCAGATCTGTCCCCTCCCCACCCCCTGCCCCTGCGGAGAGTCCTAACTAGACCCAGACCAAGGAGGGTCTGCTTGGTTTTCTGACCTGCTGCACAGTTGTCATGAAGGCCGGTTGCCTGGTTTCTTCCAGCCCCTGGCGTGAATGCCAGGGTCTGTTCTCAGAGCTGGGGCTGATTCCTGCCTCTCCTTGTCTCCCCCTCCCAGGTTTTCCTGCCCAAATACCGAGGAGATGCCGGGAGTAGTGCCAGTGAGGACAGCCTGATGCCCGGCTTTCCACCGGGCCCCAAGACCGGATCTCCCTTCCCCAATGGACACATGGGTGCTGGAGGTAGCAGCCTCCTCCCTTCTCCACCTGTGCTCTGTGGGGCCTCCGCCTGTGACGTCTCCATGCGTGTGGTGGTGGGCGAGCCGCCTGAGGCCCAGGTCATTCCGGGCCGGGGCATCTGCCTGGACCTAGCCATCCTGGACAGTGCCTTCCTGCTGTCCCAGGTGGCCCCGTCCCTGTTTATGGGCTCCATCGTTCAGCTCAGCCAGTCTGTCACTGCCTACATGGTGTCGGCCGCGGGCCTTGGTTTGGTGGCCATTTATTTTGCTACACAGGTGGTATTTGATAAGAGCGACTTAGCCAAATACTCGGTGTAGAATCCTTCCGGCCCACCGAGGCAGGGGCTGCCTCCCGGGGTCGCAGGCCCTCCCCCATCCCCTCTCTGGATCCGGGCGCATCCTAGCCTTCCAGTTTCTGTTGCTGCCAACGTGGTGTGGCTCTCTGCTGCCACCCCGTGGTGGTGAGGTGCAGAGCTGCGCAGGTCAGGGCCTGGGGCCCCGGCCCCCCCCCCCCCCCCCTCCAGTCTTCAGGGCTGGCTGACTGTTGGTCCAGACAGACTTCAGTCTGGACTTCTACAGGGAGGCCCGAAGGGTAGGGCATTTCATTAGCTCCATGCACTGGAATGCAGGACTCTGCAGGGGGATTACCCAGGCAGGGTTAACAGCTAGTGTCCTGGTCAAGACATAGCCAGAGAAGGGATTTGGAGAGCTGAGTAACCTCAACCATCTGGTCTCTCACCTCCAAGCCCCCTTATGCTATAGATTCCTTCCATGTTGCTCTTGCATGGAAGTTTCTAGTGTGAAACTCCTCCGCAGGATTTGAGAATATGAAAGTTATTTGTGGGTAAGAGTCCGGTGGGGAGAGAGGAAGCCGCCTGGCTGCATAGCACTGCCTTTCTCCCATCCCCCCACAACTACGTTTTATCAGGACATGGCTTGTTGGCCCCTGTGTTGCCATCATAGGGACACAGGCCTTTAAATATTTAACTTATTTATTTAACTAAGTAGAGGGGAATCAATTCCCAGCTCTGCCATCTCGGTGTCTAAGAGGTGAGATCCCCAGTGGGTCCTGGGAGATGGCTGGTTTATTGGGCTGAGCAGTGCCAGAATCGTCTTCCCTTGGGTGATTGGTCTGGCCCCAAAACTACCTAACCCAGGAGCTTGGAAGCTCTGCTTACCCAGCTGATATCCCAAATCCTGTTACCCAAGGCCGGGGCGGGGGTGGCGGTGGGGGGGGAGCTGGGGGTAAGTGGAGGGTGGGGCTCCAGGTCTCAGCAGCCTCCCTAACCTCCCTAGCCTCCCCTCCTCTCTTCGCCCAGCCTGCCTCCCACCTCCACTCCCCTCTGCTCTCTCTAGGGCTGGGCTGATGAAGGAGCTGCCCACCCCCCACCTTTCCCCACTGGCTCCACAGCCCTCTCCCTGGGGCTGTTGCAGGACCAGAAAGAAGCACGGAGTGTGGCTCCTCGAGCTTTTATCCGTCTCTGCCCCCAGGGCATACCTGTGCTTGGGGAATCTCGCACAGAAACTCAGGAGTACCCCCTGCCTGGGCTAAGGAAGTCTTATCTCTGGGGGGTTTAAGTGCCGTTTGCAATAATGTTATGTCTTATTTATTTAGTGGAGTAAATATTTTATACTGTATGTGAGCAATCAGAGTATAATGTTTATGGTGATGAAATTAAAGGCTTCTTATATGTTTCATGGGCTTGTGTTTATCTTTCCTGATGGGGAAGGCACAGATCTCTCTCAAATTACCCTCAGCTTCCTTCTCAATAGAGACCCTGTTTGGGTAGCTTCAGTTCCCAGTGTCACCAGCAGATGGAGCCATAGACCAGTACTCGTCCAATGTTTGGTGATTGGGCTTGGATGTGCTACCCCTTGGATTAGAGAGTTTGTTTGGGAATTTGGGGGGGGGGGGGCAGGAAAAACACGGAGTGCAGGAGAGTGGGGACATTTTCCTTCTCAAAGGGCTCACAATGTGGCCAAAAAGTTGGAACAAGCACCCTCTATCAACTATAGCAATAGGAAGTAGGAGGGAACCTGGCACGTGTAGGCCAGGATTTCAACATCACTGAGCCTTTTGGTTCCTGTCTCCTTCACCCTTCCTGCCGGGGTTAGGTCAGATTCAGAGTCTTCCCTGCCATGCCACCTCTCTCACCCTTCCACACTTGGCTGGCCTTCCCATTCCGGATTCTTGCGGTACAGGTAATACCATGTGCAGGACTAGCTTTATTTGGGGCACCTGCCCGGCTCAGTGGTTAGAGCATGTGACTCCTGATCTTGGGGTCGGGAGTCTGAGCTCCACACTGGGTGCAGAGATTACTTAAATAAATAAAAAAATTTTTTTTAAAAGGACTAGCTTTATTTTTAAAATGTTCTATATTTTATTCTAAATAAATACAATCTTTAAAAAAGGTGGGGGGGGTGCCTGGGTGGCTCAGTCAGTTGGGCGTCTGACTTCAGCTCAGGTCATGATCTCAGGGTCCTGGAGCTCAGCAAGGGGTCTGCTTGTCCCTCTGTTCGTGATCTTTACTGATCACTGATATCTTTACTTATACCCATTACTTCATAGGCATTACCCCCCCCGACCCCTCGCCCTGCTTGTGCTCTCTCAAATAAATAAATCTTTAAAATGTTCTATATTTAACTTTTTATTATGGAAAATTTCAAACATAGATGAATAATGAGCCTGGTACAATGAACCCAATTTTAACAGTTACTAACATTCTGCCATTTTAATTTTATCTACTCTCCCTCCCCGACCCATTGAGGGGGAGGTACTGTTAAAGCATACGGTGGACACAATCTCATTTCACCTGTAAATACTGCAGCGTGTGTTTTAAGAAGTAGGACTTTTTAGCAACTTAACCACAATACCATGAACATATCCAACGAACAGCAATTCCTTATTATCACTGATTACCCAATCCATGTATAATTTTCTCCAATTAATCAATAAATGGCGTTTCACAGTTGGTTTGTTCAAATCAAGATCCAACCAAGATAAACTGTATCTAGCGGCCATGTCTCTGGTTTCTTTTCAACTGTAACAATTTCCCTCTTTTTAATTTTTTTTTTTTTTTTTTTTTTTTTTGGCCATGCATTTGTGAAGAAAGAGCCATGTTTTCCTCCAGAATTGCCCACATTCTGTATCGGGTTACTGTACCCTCAGTGTTATCGAAGATGGTCTTCTTCCTCTCCTTTTTACCCTTTGAGCTGGTGACAAGATCCAGAGGCTTGATTAGATTCAGATTTGATTGTCCCATCATAAGGACAGAGGCCTTTAAATACTTAACTCATTTAACAATAGCTCTCTATACTCTTTCTACATAATTTTGAAGCAGATTTCATTCCATTCATTCATACTTCATTCTTTTTTTTTTTTGCTTTTTTTTTCTTAAAGATTTTATTTATTTATTTCAGAGAGAGAGAGAATGAGAGATAGAAAGCACGAGAGGGAAGAGGGTCAGAGGGAGAAGCAGACTCCCCGCTGAGCAGAGAGCCCGATGCGGGACTCGATCCCGGGACCCCAGGATCATGACCTGAGCCGAAGGCAGTCGCTCAACCAACTGAGCCACCCAGGCGCCCTTTTTTTTGCTTCTTTTTAACATTTTTATTGTTATGTTAATCACCATACATTACATCATTAGTTTTGGATGTAGTGTTCCATGATTCGTTGTTTGTGTATAACACCCAGTGCTCCACGCAGAACGTGCCCTCTTTAATACCCATCACCAGGCTAACCCATCCCCCCACCCCTCTCCCCTCTAGAACCCTCAGTTTGTTTCTCAGAGTCCATCGTCTCTCATGGTTGGTCTCCCCCTCCGATTTCCCCCCCTTCATTCTTCCCCTCCTGCTATCTTCTTTTTTTTTTTTCCTTAACATATATTGCATTATTTGTTTCAGAGGTACAGATCTGTGGTTCAACAGTCTTGCACAATTCACAGCACTCGCCATAGCACATACCCTCCCCAATGTCTGTCACCCAGCCACCCCCATCCCTCCCACCCCCCACCACTCCAGCAACCCTCAGTTTGTTTCATTCATACTTCATTCTTAAGTGCTTCAGAATGTTTTTCTACAAGGTGAGGACTTTCAAACAAAAAACACATAGCCACATTACTATGATCAGACCAAAAAATAATTTCTTAGTGTAATCAAACATCTAGTGTTCACATTTCCCTGTCCCATAATTTTGTATAGTTTTTGCTCAAATTGGAACCTAAATAAGTTCCGGATGTTCCAGTTGGTTGATATGTCTCCTAGATCTCTCGTAATCCGCAGGTACCTCCGTAGTTTTCATTTTTTCCCCTTGTCATTTGTTAAAGAAACTGGGTTGTTTTCCTATAGATCATCTACATTTTGCAGATTACATTCCCAGAGTGACATGTCCCCTGTTACTGCCCCTGTATTTTCTGTAAATTGGTAATTAAAGTCAGAGACCAGATCAGATTGATTTGGTTTTGTAAGAATACCTAATAGATGTGTGTACTTCCTTAGAGGGGCGCATGTCTGGTTGTCTTTCTTTTTTGATGTTAGTAGTCACTGATATCTTTACTTATACCCATTACTTCATAGGCAGTGGAAAATCATATTTCTTCAAAAAGTGCTTGACTCTTTCCTTCTATTTACCAGTTTTCAAAATAACAAATGGATTCCCTAACTTCCCTGATGATGCCAGAGAGGTCTGTTCCCTTAGTGTCGTTATGTGTTAATGGACTTAAACATATTTGATGTGCTTTGGTCCTTTGCAGCTGTCGTCCATGCCTGTATCGCTCCTACTGTTGGCCAATGGGAGCCTCTTCAAGTTGATTTCTGAGTCCTTTTGACACCATCTTATTTGGTCCTTGAGAGCTTCTTTGCTTTCGGGCATGACTAGATGTCCAGGCTCATCTTGTGTGTTTCCTGTTACAGACTTGGAAGGAGCTCTTTCTTTCTTTTTTTTTTTTTTTTAAAGACTTTATTTATTTATTTGACAGAGAGAGAGAGACAGCGAGAGAGGGAACACAAGCAGGGGGAGTGGGAGAGGGAGAAGCAGGCTTCCCGCGGAGCAGGGAGCCCGATGCGGGGCTCGATCCCAGGACCCTGGGATCATGACCTGAGCCGAAGGCAGTCGCTTAACTGACTGAGCCACCCAGGCGCCCCAGGAGCTCTTTCTTCTAAGGGTCTCTGATTGCTTTTTGTGGGGTAAGGTTTTTAGAGATCATAAGATCTGCATCAGGGGTGCCCGTTACTGGGTATGTCATTGGATTTAGTCCTTTCCAGTGGATAAAGCTGGGAGATTTTTTAAAACGTAAACACACTGCAAGTTTATACTGATACTTCCAATTCAGTTTCAAGACTGTAAACACACACACTCACTCACACTCACACACACACACACACACACACAGTTTACGTCTCTAATTTCTCTCACACTGAAACAGGCCTGGCCCAGAGGCTTTTAGTGTCTGCTTGTGTGTGTGGGATGTAGGAAAAAGCAAATAAGAACCACC